AGGGCCATCAGAGCTCAACATCTGAGCTGTGGGTCCACAAAGAACCTGGGTTTGATGTTTGAAAGGGCTGCATTACAGGGATGATGAATAAATAGAAGATTCAACGTTCCTCAGCATCAAAATGGCAGGAAATGATGAGTTAAAGATTCTTGGGTCTTTTTCAGAACCAAAAGGTAAAGGCCAGATCAGACCAGAGCTCAGTGATTTGGGCTAAGGTTGAACCAGATGCTTGCTTGCGTTCAGTGTGGAAATACAGCCACTAGCCAGCCAATCAGACTCCAGCACCCCATCGATCTCTGGAGCTGCAAAGCCTGGCGTGACCACCAGAGGGAGCTCCCGAGAGCACGCCGTCAGACTTTTGAAACAGTCGCATGCCAGCACGTGCAGCTCATTGCCCCGGTACCTTCTCGCTGGTGTGGTCACTGATGTACAGGGTTTGGCCGTGCTCGTCCAGCTCCTCGGACCAGCCACGCAGGGAGCCATACTGGCTGTCAGACTGGCTGGAACGTGTGCTGAGCCGCCGGAGCACCTGCGAGCCCACCGGCGCAGAAAGGAAGGGATGGAGGGAGAGAAGGAGAGCAATAGAGAAGGAGGGAGGAAAAAGAGCACACTGTCCATTCAGTAGAGGGATAAGGGACAGAGAAGGAGCCCCTGAACCACTCAAATGGATGGGGGTATTTTTATTTTATTTTTTTTTGGGGGGGGGGGGGGGGAGAGAACCAGAAAAATCAGAAACACCACCTACAGAAGTCAAGAAACCGCCCACCAGAACAGCTAAGCCAGACTCCATATCCCATGATGCATTTCACCCCCTTACCAAAGCCAGACAGCATTATCCACCAATCAGAGCTCCCAGGCAAGAATGAAGCTGTCAGCAAGAAATGGGCTCCATCTAGGTAGGAGTCTGACAACCCCTAGAAATTATTAGACGTACCTGCGCCAATGCTACATAAACTTGTTTTTATATTTAATTCAGCTCAGTGTCACTTGCAAGATCTTAAAGAACCTGTGACCTGCACATCATTTCTGGATCAGAATTTTGAAATGCAGAATCAGACTGATATAACAGGACGGCTGAAATTAACTGTAGAACATTGCTAAGTGCATATAGAGTGAGACACCAGGAGCTCCTGTATCACCAAGTTGGATTTTTGGGTTAGCAAGACAACTTGTCAGATTTAAGGTGGTCTGGGCTAAATGTAAATGACCGACAATAAAGTCCATTTAAACTGGGGCACCTTAAATCTGACAAATTACCTAGACAACCCAAATGTCTCGCTGCATGATACAGGTTACAAGACTGAAAACCACTGCTTTAAAGAGGCACTTCACCCCAAAACTGAAAAACATAATTTGTTTTAGAGGGGCTTTAGTGCTGGTAAGAGACGTTGCTGTAAATTTTTTCTAATGTTATTTATTGGCACTTAAATCACCACAGAAAGAATGTTATTAAGTCCCATTATATTTCAAAAAGCACGGACATTTTTATGGCCAATATTTCTCCTAGCAGAACAACTTAGAAGGACAGATCGCACTGAAGTCCCTCTGACTCATACGCTTTTTCAGTTTTGGGTGGAACTGCCCCTTTAAAGTAGTGGGAAACTACAAAAACTGTGCAGTCCCTAGGTGGCGCTGTGTTGGCATCGTAAAGCCGCCCTTGTTGACATGAGAGTGACCAGCGCGCGGAGAGCTCGGACACTGTCAGGTGCATGTGCAGGCCAGCACCGCCATTCAGGGTCTTTCTCAACAAACGGCCTGCGGCGGATGTGAAAACGGAATCTGTGCATTGCGACACACACATACGCGACATCGTCGTGCTGCGCTTTAGCAGAATGCTAGTCTGGCCGGTACCTCCGAATCCCCCTTGGTGCTTGACTCCCTGCTGCGGGGGGGCTTCCAGCTGCGCTCCTGCGTGCAGCGGTTATAGTAGAAGTGGCGGCCAGTGGCATCGCGGTGGGTCTCCCAGTCGCCGGCTGTCTGCAGCGGCAAGCTTGACGGTCTGGGGGGCTGACTGCTCTGACAGAGCTTCAGATCCTGCAGATTGCTGTAGACGGGGGAGTCCGGCCGGGTGGAATCCAAGGGGGAGGGACTCTGTGGGGGACACCAGTGTTACAGCACTGATACAGCAGCACGTATCTCTGCGGGGGACAGGGGACACCGGTGTTACAGCACTGACACAGCAGCACGTATCTCTGCGGGGGACAGGGGACACCGGTGTTACAGCACTGAGGTAGCAGGAAACACAATGATATCACAATGAATTAGACCTGCAGAATATGGGATGTTTATATGAATATTGTGTGTTATGCACATGCAATTGTCACATTGCAAGGACTGAGATAGTCAACTGTGTGAATACAATAAGTTTTGCTGAAACATTTTTACTCAGTCAGAGGAAACAAAATTAGCAAGCTGGGCAGTGATATGATAACGAGTTTGTTTTCAAGATACTGTATATGTAGAGCTGATTAAACTCGATTACTCGGTTATAAAATGCATTGATTAAAATTTTCATTCCTGAATACTTGGCAATATGGCTGAAGGAAGACGATGCATAGGCCAGGGGTGTCAGACTCCAGTCCTGGGGGGCCGGAGCCCTGTGTAGCTTAGTTCTTTCCCTGTTCCACCATAAATGATTCAGCTCAAGAACTGTGTGGTAATTAGCACAAGGAGTTGAATCAGGTGTGTTAAATGAGGGGAAACCCAAAAACGTGCAGGGCTCCGGCCCCCCAGGACTGGAGTTTGACACCCGTGGCATAGAGGATGAGGGTCCAGAGAAAGAGCAAAAATATCATTTGTGTGGGCACCCTTTACATTAAAAGTGAATGAAAATGCAGTCGTCTGTCGATATTGCAAAGCAGAATGTAAATGTCACCACAGCACAACCGCAATGCAAATACATCTTAAAACAAGACATTCAGCTTTGACAGACTCACCCAATAATGTGAAATTAGGCATAGATATGCCCCATTTAGCCTTTTCAGAGTAGCCTAGCCTGCCCTTCACATTACTTTGAATGAAAATATTTTACTTAATTTACTATCTACGATTCTTATATGTCAAAATAGTCACTCCTTAAATGCAGGTTAGCCCAGACATTAATTATTCTTTTGTGAATGTATACTGTGTTAGTGCTGAACAATACTGGATAAAATTTCATATTGCGACATTTTATGTCTTTTGTGATATTTAGGGGTTAACTATATAGCCAAGTAGAACTTATCATCCACCAACAGTGTCTGTCTAATAAATGCTGAAATGAGTTGTGCCAAAATACACAAAGCAGGGCCGACACACACACACACACACACACACACAAAAGTGATTGCCCCCCCCTGTTAAAACATACCTGAACTGTGGTGTATGACATCTTTGGAAAATTGAGTCCAATTTCTCTAGCCACACCCAGGCCTGATTACTGTCACGTCTGTTCTCAATGAAGAAATCACTTAAACGGGACCTGCCTGACGAAGTGGAGTAGACCCCCAAAGGTCAGACATCATGCTGCGATCCAAGGAAATTCAGGAACAAATGAGAAACAAAGCAATTGAGAGCTATCAGTCTGGAAAAGGCTATACAGCCATTTCTAAAGCTTTGTGTCTCGAACCACAGTGAGAGCCATTATCCACAAATGGAAAAACACGGAACAGTGGTGAACCTTCCCAAGAGTGGCCGGCCGACCAAAATTACCCCAAGAGCACAGCGATGACTCATCCAAGAGGTCACAAAAGACCCCAGAACAACATCCAAAGACCTGCAGGCCTCACTTGCCTCAGTTAAGGTCAGTGTTCATAAGACAGAGACTGGGCAAAAATGGCCGCATTGGTAGAGTTCCAAGACGAAAACCACTGCTGAGCAAAAGGAATATAAAGGCTCGCCTCAGTTTTGTCAGAAAACATCTTGATGATCCCCAAGACTTTTGGGAAAATACTCTTTGGACTGACGAGACAAAAGTTGAACTTTTTGGAAGGTGTGTGTCCCATTACCTCTGACGTAAAACTAACACAGCATTTCAGAAAAGGAACATCATATTAACAGTAAAATATGACGATGGTAGTGTGATGGTCTGGGGCTGTTTTGCTGCTTCAGGAGCTGGAAGACTTGCTGTGGTAAATGGAACCATGAATTCTGAGAATGTCCGGCCATCTGTCCGTGCCCTCAAGCTGAAGTGCACTTGGGTTCTGCAGCAGGACAATGATCCAAAACACACCAGCAGGTCCACCTCTGAATGGCTTAAGAAAAACAAAATGAAGACTTTGGAGTGGCCTAGTCAAAGTCCTGACCTGAATCCGATTGAGATGCTGTGGCACGACCATAAAAAGGCGGTTCATGCTCGGAAACCCTCCAATGAGGCTGAATTACAGTACAACAATCCTGCAAAGATGAGTTGGCCAAAATTCCTCCACAGCGCAGTAAAGGACTCACTGCCAGTTATCGCAAACGCTTGATTGCAGTTGTTGCTGCTAAGGGTGACCCAGCCAGTTATTAGGTTTAGGGGGCAATCACTTTTTCACACAGGACCTTGTAGGTTTGGATTTTTCCCCCCTTAATAATGAACACCTTCATTTGAAAACTGCATTTTGTGTTTTACTTGTGTCATCATTGTCTAATATTTAAATTTGTTTGTTGATCTGAAACATTTACGTGTGACAAACATACAAAAAAAACAAGAAATCAGGAAGGGGGCAAACACTTTTTCACACCACTATACACACACACACACACACACACACATATATATATATATATACACACATATATTGCCATATAAGCCTGCCTCTTCCCGGTTTCTCATTAATGAAGGGCTTCTTCCTTGCTTTATGGGACTTCAGTCCTGCTTCTAGGAGCCTGATATGAACTGTCCTTGCAGTGCCCTTCACACCTGCACTTAATGTTTCCCCTTCCTTTTGAAAGTCACTTTGCTGTCATCCTCCGATTCATGAGGCACTCCTGGACGGTCATCTCTGGCATTAGAAAGTCACTTCTGCCCTCTACCTGGCTGGTTTCTGGTCGTTCCCAGTGTCTCCTGCTTCACCTTATTTCTTGTGCTGCTGTCTTAGAAATTTTGAGCCTGGAAGCAACCTGCTGCTCAGCGTAGCCTCTGCCAGCAGAACCAGGATTTAAAAATTCAGATTTGTTTAAAATATAGAGTGGTTTCTCAATTCTTTTTCTGTGGCTGTACACTACATTATGTTGAAAAGGAACCATCATTAACATTGCAAAGCTTGCCAAGTTTTGTTTCCTCTGATTGAGTAAAAATGTTGTTGCGCAACTTGAACAGAGCAGACTATCACAATCCTTGCAATGTGCAAGTGCACGTGCATGAAATGCCATGCCGATATTGACATCGTACATCTTGTAATACTGCCACTGCACACGGCTGCTTTGTGTATGTGCCGTTTGCATGTTCGCCGTGTGCGCACACTTTTTCGGCGGAAACTCCAGTTGCCTTCCACTGTTAATGGAAGTTAATTAGTTGCCTTCCACTGTTAAGTTAATTAGTGTGTCTACCAATTGAGTGAGTGTGCACCAATTGCAATGTATATTATAAGCGAATACTCGTTGAATTGTCAGACTAAATCGGTAGATTACTCAATTACTGATATTATCAATAGTGAAAGCCCTAAATATATGTTAACATAAAAAAGTCAGTCGAGTTTATCGCTGCTGCTTTTGCATGAGCTCTGCATGCGCTCTTGGTGCTCATCATAATAATTTTTGTCCTTGCTGTCTGACACACTCATACTGCTCGCCAACTCCACTGTATGGAAATATTTCGGATGCCGTAAATTTGATGTTTGGCAAACGCTAGTGATTTGTCGGCACTGCTTTGTGTCTTTGGCACAACTCAGCCGCAGCACCAATTTGTTTGAGAGATTCTATTGGGAGATAAGGTTTATTTGGGGTAAATTCTCAACTCCCATTACGATATTTAAAATATTTATTGTAAAAAAATCATATTGCAATATTTAATTTAATAATCAATATTGCAGTGCTGGCAACAAAGCCTGGGCAATAGGTCACCCTCAAAGAAGCACCAACGGCACTATTTGCACAACAGGGCACTAGCAGTGAAGCGATGATACTGCAACACATGCCATGGGGCACTGGCAGTGCAGTGTGCGCAGCAGAGCGCAGGTACTGCATGCAGTGAGGTACCACTTCTGCACTAAACCTTTCTCAGCAGGAGCGTCGCAATACAAACGTGTCAGAAGCACTTAAGCAGAATGCACAGTGTACACCAGGGGGGAAATTCACTCACGGACAACAGGGCAGAGAATAAAATGCACTGAACAGAAATGAAGCGTGGCAGCTGACTGAGGGCACAGAGGAGTGCGGGGTAGGGTTTTTCGGAGAAGAGCCCATAGGCAGCCGCAGGCACTTCCTCCCTCTCAGATGGGCCCTGATACAACCCCTGAGCACTGCTGCCAAACAGGATATTGCATGAGAGAAAAACGCTGCTGAAATCCAGAGACACGGCCCCAATACTCCCCCCCCCCCCCCAACATGCCACGATGGGGTGTGTGACGGACGCAGAATGCCCAGAGCATCCAGAAAGCGTCTTGAACATCATCTTCCAGGGTTCTAACCCGTCACATGACCGGTGTGGTCCAGTGAGATGTCCTTCACTGCTTTGGCAAGGGGGGGAACCAGGACAGCCGGCCTGCACCTTCACAGGACTGACCGGCCAGCCAGAAGCACGCAGAGGCAGGGCAGACGCTCCCCCACGCCCCCTGCAGGCCGAACGGCTGCGGAGCTGCGCAATGCGTGCACCCGACGGAAGCACAGCCACAAACGGATCAGAGCGCGTTTCAATGACATTCTGATTTCAAAACAGCAGAGAAGCCGAAGGGGAAACGGCAATGCACTCTGACCCACGGGGGAACCTCAGCAGTAGAGGTGGATCCAGGGTCAAAATCCAGATCAAGATTTTGTTTCAACCAACCAATTCAGTATAGAGTGTCACTGTTTCAGAGTACTCAACTGGGTGGTTGAAACTAAATCTTGGTCTGGATTTTTACTTTTGGGACCTGAACTAGCTACCTCTGCTCAGCAACGTGGAGCATTACAGCACAGAGCACACCACCAAC